AAGAAGAAGTCTACATTTATATTATTTGACGTTAAATGCATTATATAATCGCGTTGGAATACATCACAGCATGTTTCACGATTTAAAAAAAAAAACGTGACTTACATTCCAAAAAATAAGCTATAGCAAATTATTTTGTGAACCCCTGGCACTTTGAGAACCGCTGGTCTACACAGAAAAAAGCCCTTTCTAGGCTCTGCCACGGTGCGGGTTGTGTCGAGCCATTTGTTACTCTGGTTGTTTGATGAGAAAAAGATTAAATGTAGTTGCATTTTAAAAGTTAAAAAACTTCAGATTAAAAAAGTTAAATGTAATAAATGCATTAAAAATCCGTACACCTATAGCAGCGGAGGACTTTTATTCTGCCGCGTGAAACTGAGGAAGAACCAGATGCTGCATCCCAATCATAGACTGTAAAAAAACATGGACGTAGTGTCCGTGACGTCACCCGTAGGTTTCTAAAGAGCGTTTTTGAAGCTCAAAGTGGGCGGAGCCAGCCATCGCCATCTTGGCAGCGCGTCACCGCACGTCACTCCCAGATAATCGAAAATGGGCAAAGAGGCGGGAGCTGGTTGCTGAAACCACGCCCACCTAGCTCGACGGTGGTGACAGCAGCAACAATCCACCTGTCACTCAAGTGGCCATGCCCTTAATTATTCAGAATTTTAAGGCTTAATATAATTTAAACGGATGAGTTATAAAAAAATTCACCCCCCCTCACATTTGTCATGAAGGGCAAAATTAGCTACATAAACCAAAATAATTTTTTGAACCAGGCTGTAAACATGTTTTTTTTCTGCTGTAAAGTTGGGTATTTTAACATGGGGAGTCTATGGGATTGACTCCCTTTTGCAGCCAGCCTCTAGCGGCCAGTTGACGAATTACAGTTTAAGTCACTTCCGTGTTGGTTTCATGAGAGAGACCGGAAGGTTGCCGCTCGGTCCCAATGTGCCTACTTATACTACGCCCTCAAAGTATGTACTCTTTTGGTGAAGAAAAGGTATGCACTTTTGAGAGTGTAGTAGAAGAGTAGGCAAGCTTTGGGACATACTATCACGTCACACAATTGCATCTTTAAAGGACCGCTCTGTCGCACCTGTTACACGCACCCTGTCACTGTAAACTGGCCTGTCAATCATCTTGTCACAGTTAACATCCTTCACATTTCATTTACTTTAACTTCCTACCGTATTGGAGAGAAAAGAAATAGCTTGTTGATCTGCCAGTCTTTCATGCGGAGAACTCTGCTCATATTTTCTGCATGATGCTTTTAAAAGTTAACGACCAAATGGATGTTTATAAAAGTTCACATTGCTGTTAAAGATGAAATATAACACGGATAACAATAAATTTTTTTTTTCTTTTTACCAGGTTAAATGCTGATTATTAGTAACTCACACCCCTTTTTGTAAACCTCTCCACCTAACTGTTGATCGCGCGCATCTGCCACGTTTGTAGTTTTTCTAACGCGTTTTATTCGTGTTTGTAGTTCTGGATTGAATCCTTCGCCAAAGCGCAATGGATTGTGGGCAATTTTAGCCATTAGAGTGTGCACGGATCCACACTTCAAAAATCGACCTGAAATAGTAGACCATCTGGGGACTTTTGGCATACTCTTTTCAACATACTATGCTTTGGGACACACTTATTATAATTTCACATACTATTTAGGATAGATAGTATGAACACTGGGACGCAGGGAAAGACTGTAAAAAAGGGAAGAACTGATGATGGCAAGATGTTCGGCTGACCAATCAGCAGAAAGGGGCATTTCATTCCCGCCCACGTGTAGAAATCGAATATTCAAACTGTTTATTAATTTTTCCACCCCTGAACGAAAAACGAAAAATCAAGCTGATTTAATCCTTGTTTGTTTGTTTGTTTTTTTTTTAAAAGGAAAAAAACTAAAAATTAGCCGTTTTCTCATGTTTCTTTTTTTTAAATCAAAAAACGAATGAACGAATGATACACGGGTCCGTAATCCGTGTATCATTCGATCATTCGTTTTTTGATTTCATATTGAAAGTAGAAAAATTAGAAAACGGCTCCTTTATCATTTTTTCATTTTTTTCCAAAAATTGAAGTCGCTTTTTTTATCATGCTACATAGGCCTACTGTGATTTATTCCAAAGTGATTTATATGATGCATTTAACGTCAAAAAAACCTAAATGAAGCCTTTTAAAAGACAAGTATTCCCTGTGGTTCATTTTTGTGGCATGTGCCAGAAAGATGCTCAATGAGACCGAGACACACTAAAGCAGTGCATTCTGTTGTTCTCTTTATTTTTCAAAGGCATGAGATTTTGTAGTTATTTTGAATGTAACGTTACACAATTAAAAATATAAATTTTACCATACGACTATAACTTGCCATTTCGGTTTGTTTCTCACCAAACCCTCAGTATGCCTTCAGAATGCTTGGAATATACGCCACGAGATGCATAGGATTATTTAATGACAGATATGCATCTGCTTAAAAAAAAAAAAAAAAGTCTCCATTCTCTGCCATTAAATTGGCAAGTGCCAGCAGGACATTTTTGTGTTATTAAGTAATAAGCCTTTAGAACAACATTAAGGTGAATATTCACTCTAGTTCACACAGTTTCAATAAATTGCGATGGGTTAAATAAACTCAATAAGCAGACAGACGCGACTACAGTCAAGTGCAGACCAGTATTGAAGTGCACAGGAAATAAGCAGCAGTTATATTTAAAGCAGTTTAAATTAATATTGAGTACTGATTGACGTTCACTTGGATTTTTTTCCCCATCGAGGGGAAATAACTTAATACTCTGTCATTTATAGTTGTATGGTAAAATGTATATTTTTAATTGTGTAACGTTACGTTCAAAATAACTACAAAATCTCATGCCTTTGAAAAATAAAGAGAACAAAAGAATACGCTGCTTTAGTGCGTCTCGGTCTCCTTGAGCATCTTTCTGGCGCATGCCACAAACATGAACCACAGCTAATACTTGTCTTTTAAAAGGCTTCATTTAGATTATTTGACGTTAAATGCATCATATAAGTCACTTTGGAATAAATCACAGTAGGCCTATGTATCATGATAAAAAAAGCGACTTTACAGTCTGGAAATACTTTAGGCTATATCATTTATTATTGTTAAGCATATTATAAACATGTTTGAGCAGGTATTTGCAAACAGAGTATTTCACAGTAAAGACTGGTCTAAACATTCTTAGACATTACTTTTATATCGGCTAAACATTACTTTTATATCGTATTGTTTATAGAACATAAAACCATCCTCACGCCGTGCAACATTTAGATGCAATGAAAGGTTGCCTATCATTTTTCAAACTCTTGCACTCAATTTCACACATTTTAGTCTGGAATTATAGTTTGGGTAAAGTCCAACTAGTAAATGCGTTCAAGTTTATGTCACATCAACACAGTATCTAATGCCAATAAGAAACATTACTTACTCAGTATAAAATATCTCCTCCGCTGGCTCAAGTTGCGCTCGCATTCTGTTTGTGGGGTAAACAAAGCTTATACCTCTCAGCACGTCTTCTTCTGATATAATTAAATACAGGCTTTTTCCTCTCAGCGCATCTTCTGAGATAATTACAAGGCGTATTCCTTTCAGAGTCTTCTTCCAAAAACGAAAAGTAACCGAGATGAACATGTTGCTGCTTTGTTTACGGATGATGTGGGCGTTTACATGCGCGTGCGTCTCACGTGGATGTTTAGAATCTGAAAAGCGCGATCGGCGCGTGGGCATGACCGCATTAGAGATAATGAGTTGAGACGGGAAAACTGGACATCGCATTGGTTTCATACGGATTACTTTAACAGATAATATTTGTTTTGGACGTGACTTACTTCATTTAAAAGCAGACATTTCAAGATTTCTATACATATATTTCTCATGTCTTTGAGGCAAGTATTCGCGGAGATTCATGTTGTTTTATTTACATGTCTGTGAAGAGAGGTGACAGAGACAGAGCTGGCAGAGAACGCACCCTGTTTATTTTCTTTATTTTACTAAAGCACGCTGTTCTGTTGTTATTATGACTATACACAAATAAAAGTAGACCCTTTGCAGTTTCAAACGATAACTTATTCTTATCTGTACGATCAAAACTGGCAGAGTATTTTTAGTTCTTTTCGCGGTCATAAAGAAAATAGGAGACAGACCACTCTGGTGGCACCACTTAAAGCACACATTAATGAGTTACTTGAACAGGGTGTAGTTCAGCCTAGTAGTAGTCCTTATTCATCACCCATCGTGGTAGTGCGTGGTAGTGCAGTGCCAAGTGGTTTTCTACTCTTGACTTGGCTAGTGGGTATAATCAAGTACCTTTGGCAGAAAGAGATAAAGACAAGACTGCTTTTTGCACAGCCTTTGGTCTTTTTTAATATAATCGGATGCCATTCGGGTTATGTAATGCCCCTAGTACTTTTCAACGATTGATGGAAAGACGATTTTCAAGTTCTTTTAGGCAGCACTTTCAGCAGCTAGAGATGGTTTTGGAGCGGCTCCAACAGAATAATTTGAAGTTGAAACTTCAAAAGTGTAATTTTTTCCAAAAAGAGGTCAAATATCTTGGTCACATTATCTCCCCTCATGGTGTTTCCACTGATCCTGAGAAAATTAGCGCAGTTGCCAATTGGAAGCGCCCAAGTAATCTGTTTGAATTGCGTTCCTTTTTGGGGTTTGCTTCTTATTATAGAATGTTTGTCAAAGGGTTCGCTCAACATGCAGCCCCGTTGCACAGATTAGTGGGGGTGCTTCAGGAAAAAGGGAAGAAGCGAAGTTTTGGTGCTAACACTTTCTTGGAAGGGAGGTGGACAGAGGCCATGGAAAATGTGTTTTTGACTTTAAAGAAGTTGTTGGTGGAAGCTCCAGTGCTAGGGTATGCTGACTTTTCTAAGCCGTTTGTTCTAGAGATTGATGCGAGTCATGTGGGACTTGGGGCTGTGCTGTCACAGGAGCAAGAGAGGCGGCGACGTCCTATTGCCTATGCTAGCCGGGAAAGATAGAGAAAGAGCTATCAATTTGTCAATCCTTTCCGTGTCCGGGCCAGGTGAGGTTTCCCGTGTTGAGTCAAATTAAGCCGCAGGCTCCACTCATGGTGGTGCCCTTCCGTCAATTCCTTTAAGTTTCAGCTGCGCCCTTCAGAAAGAAATATGTCTAACTACAGCTCAATGAAGTTGGAACTGTTGGCTCTGAAGTGGGCAGTGTCCGAGAAGTTCCGCGAATACCTCTTGGGTGCCAAGTTTGTAGTGTTCACAGATAATAATCCTTTAAGCTATCTTCAAACTGCAAACTTGGCTGCAGTAGAACAGCGTTGGGTATCCCAAATGGCTTTGTTTGATTTTGAGTTGAAATATCATCCTGGGGCAGATGCATTATCTCGCCTGCCAGGAAATTTAAGTCCAGATAGTGTGAAGGCCGTGGTATCTGGTATAACCCTTCCTCTGGAAATGTCATCAGTCCCGTGTTTAAGCTCCGTTTCTGATTGTATTGTAGCTTCAGAGATCACAGCCATGCCCTTTCGTGAGAAGGCTGATATGCAAGCTTTTCAAGCTGTAGATCCGCATATTGCTGCATTTATGCATTACTGGGAAAGAGGGTCGGTCCCGATGCGAGAGGAAAGAAATAGGTAGCCTAAGGAGGTACGGGAATTGATTCGTCAGTGGAAACGTATTCGACAGAAAGATGGAGTTTTGTATAGGGTGGTTTTTCTGCCACCAGGCAAACTAAGAGTACTCCAGGTTCTGTTGCCTGCAGTTTTAAGACAAGAAGTGCTTGAGGGTCTTCATGACCATCATGGCCATCAAGGTATAGAAAGAACAACAAATCTTGTGAGGGAGAGATGTTTTTGGCCCAACTCACATTATGATGTTGAACAATGGTGTATCAAATGCTCACGTTGTGTGGTAGCTAAGGCAGTACTCCCCAAAGTTCGCACCACAATGGGCCATTTGATGGCATCCAGGCCTTTGGAAATTCTCGCCATTGATTTTACACTTCTAGAACATGCTAATAGTGGTTGTGAGAATGTCCTGGTGGTCACTGATGTATTTTCAAAGTTTACCCAGGCTTATCCAGCTAGGGATCAGAAGGCCAGTACTGTGGCCCGCATTTTGACTGAGAACTGGTTTTATGTTTAATATTAATATATTAAACATAATATATATATTAATAGAATATTATAATTCTGACTTTCTGACTTCTGATTAACAAAAGCAAAAAATGCCTTTAACACTAGCTTGATCTATTCTTTTTCTATTCTATCTGTTTTCTTTTTATTTATTATATGATTTACAAAAAAAAAAGATTTTTGTTGACTTTTGAAGGGGGGGGGGATGTAGCAGGAATTAGGGTACTGTCCCTTTAAGTGGGCAGGAGAAGTAACAAGACGGAGGGTTTTAAGTCTCGCGGTGGCAGACAAACTATCGTTTGTTCTCGGTTCCCCGTGTTGCACTCCCTGGTGTTGGTGCATGGAAGAGCTGCATATGCGTGTGCGGTCTTTGACTTTTGAAGGGGGGGGGGATGTAGCAGGAATTAGGGTACTGTCCCTTTAAGTGGGCAGGAGAAGTAACAAGACGGAGGGTTTTAAGTCTCGCGGTGGCAGACAAACTATCGTTTGTTCTCGGTTCCCCGTGTTGCACTCCCTGGTGTTGGTGCATGGAAGAGCTGCATATGCGTGTGGGGTCTGCTAATTAATATAAGTAAGTGCTTTGTGTGTTTTTAGAATTCACCCGAATTTGCACTTATATGAGTTGGATCTTTACCGTTGCTTGGAAGAGCTACGTAGGTGTGTGCATGTGGTTCCGACTAATTGATGTGAGCAGAGGTTTCGTAATCATTTTAAATGTATATGAATATGCACATGTAAACATCCAAATGTAATGTTACCTTAGGATTGTCTCTGTGCTGAGGGTGCACTGAAGGGTTGTGTAATATTTTTAATACATTAGTTGTGTTTTAAAATTCAGAGTTGTTGTGCACAGCATCTCCTCTTCAATGTGGTGATTGGCTTCTACAGTCTAGCACAGTGTCTTCTCCCCCTCCATTGAGGTGGTTTGCTTCTACAGCCTAGTCCATTATATTGTTTGAGGTATGAGTATTTTATATTAAGAGGGTATTTAATAATTGTTGTTATTGTACAATAATTATTTTTTTATGTAAAATGTTTTTGTATGAATATTTTAATTAGTGGTGTTTATTAATTGTGTTTATAATGTTCATTAAGTATGCAACATGTTTACTGAAGACAAAATGTTACGTTTAAATTACAGGCTTTATACGGATTGCTGCGCTTGTGCACCACTTTTTTCTTTTCCAACCATTGTGTATTGGTTTTTGTTTATTCAATTGTTCATTGTAATTAGCCTACTGAAGATATTCCAGATTCCGGTGATCCGTATAGACTATAAACGGATGATGAGCTCCTTCAAGCCAGTGCCTCCATTCCTCCAGGGCGAGCTTGATGGCGAGTAGTTCTCTATTCCCGATGTCATAGTTTTGCTCTGCTGAGGTTAATTTCCGGGAGAAGAAGGCACATGGATGGAGTCGAGGTGGGTTGCCCTGCTGCTGTAACAGGACGGCTCCTACTCCGGATGTGGAGGTGTCAACTTCAACCACGAATGGTCTTTTTGGATCGGGATGCACCAGGAGTGGAGCCGTGGTGAACGCCTCTTGGAGTTGTTTCATGGCTGTAGTGGCTTCGGAGTTCCAGGACAGAGACTTGGACTTGCCTTTCAGGAGATTTGTTAATGGTGCCGTGATAGAATTGTAGTTCAGGATGAATCAACGATAAAAGTTGGAGAAACCTAGGAATCGTTGGAGTTCTTTAATGGTGGATGGGAGGGGCCAGGTCTTGATTGCTTCCACCTTCCTCTCATCCATCTTTATGCCATGAGCACTGATGTGATAACCTAGGAACTTGATGGACGGTTGATGGAAGGTGCATTTCTCAGCTTTGAGATATAATTGATGTTCACGGAGCCGGTGGAGGACCTCCGAGATGTGCTGGTGATGTTCGGCCTCGTTCTGGGAGTACACTAGGATGTCGTCGATGTAAACCAGCACAAAGCGGTGGAGGTACTCCCGGAACACCTCATTCATGTAGCCCTGGAATACAGAGGGGCATTGACAAGACCATACGGCATCACCAGATATTCATAGTGTCCTGTGGGTGTCACAAAGGCTGTCTTCCACTCGTCCCCCTCACGTATCCGGATGAGGTTATAAGCACTCCGGAGGTTCAACTTGGTGAAGATCTTGGCCCCACAAAGCTGTTCCAGAGCGGATGGGATGAGAAGAAGGGGATATCTGTACTTGACAGTGATCTTATTGAGGGACCGGTAATCAATACAAGGCCTCAAGCCTCCGTCCTTCTTAGCCACGAAGATAAAACTGGAAGCAGCAGGGGACGTGGACGATCGGATATATCCTTGTTGTAGAGCCTCAGAAATGTACTCCTCCATGGCCTACCGGTAATCAATACAAGGCCTCAAGCCTCCGTCCTTCTTAGCCACGAAGAAAAAACTGGAAGCAGCAGGGGACGTGGACGATCGGATATATCCTTGCTGTAGAGCCTCAGAAATGCACTCCTCCATGGCCTTCTGTTCAGGGATGGAAAGGGAGAAGATTTTACCTTTGGGCACTGGTTCATCAGGAAGAAGGTCGATGGCACAGTCCCATGGTCTGTGAGGTGGTAATTGGGAGGCTCGTGTCGGGCAGAATACATCACGGAAGGGGGCGTAGTCGGTGGGAATTTCAATGGAGCGATTTTCAAGGGGACTTTCAATGGATGTGGAGTTAACTGGAAGCACTGGAACGGACGGGACTGGTTTGAGTAGTTCGGGAAAACAGTCTGGAAAGCAGTTGTTACCCCACTTCAGAATCTCTCCGGTGGACCATGAGATAGATGGATTATGGGACACGAGCCATGGGCGCCCCAATACTATCCCTGCGGTGGAATCCTCCAGAACCAATAAACAGATCCTTTCCCGGTGGAGCTGACCGACTTGTAACCAGATGGGACCCACACAATATCGAACTCTTCCTCTCACAAGGGACTTGCCGGTTATCGATTGGATCTTGTACGAGATGTCATTGAGTCTCTTCTTAAGTTGGAGTTGGTTACATAAGTCAGCGGAAATGAAGTTGCCGGCTGACCCAGAGTCGAGGAGGGCATAGACTGAAACACAATGAAGAGGAGTTGCAATCTGAACAGTAGTGGTTAGAGGTTTTATATTGACTGAAGAGGTAGAGACCACACTCACCACGGGTCGTGGAGGACGAATGGGACATGCCCTTATTACATGTCCGTCCTTGCCACAGTATAAGCATAATCCCTGGGTCAGCCGGCGTTGACGTTCCTCCGACGAGAGGCGGGCATTGTCGATCTGCATAGGTTCAGGATGTGGTTCTGGAGGACTGGGGTATTCTGGCTGGCAGAGAAAGTTGGATGGCTTTTGGCACAAATGTTCCTCCATACAGCTCTGAATCCGATTGGCAACACGGATGGAGAGTTGAAGGAAACGCTCTAGCCCCATAGTGTCGTCGTAGGCGGAGAGATGCAACCGTAGCGAGGGCTCCAGTCATTGATGGAAGGTGGTCAGCAGGGAGCGCTCGTTCCAACCACTAGAGCGGCTAAGGTACGGAAATGGAGAGTATACTCCCGAATAGACTTCTGACCTTGTTTTAAATTATATAACTGCTCACCAATTGAAGCATCTCCAGCGGGCCGTCCGAAAACTTCACGGAAATGAGTGAAGAAAAAAAAATGACTCTGCCCATTGTAACGCTCGACCTGTTAACAAGGTTAGAACATATGCAATTTTAGCTCTTTCTGTGGGGAAGCGATGTGGTTGCATCTCTAATATGAGAGAACACTGCATGAGAAAGCCATTGCATTTCTCCGCCGAGCCAGAGTAGGGCGCTGGATTGACCATGGGACTGGCGGGGTAGATCGGGGCCGAAGAAGAAATACTGGTTGCAGGATCCGAGGCAGGTGCTGGTGCAGGCGTCGTGGTGGTTTGACTGAGAACTCTTCTCATAGCATCCACCAGCTCCTGGAATGGGTCAGGGTCTGTTTGACTCATGATGGTTGAGGTCTGGTCTTCTGTAACGGGAAGTCAGACTCGATACACAGGTGAGTTAGAATCAAACAGACAGGTTTATTGTTCAGGATGGAGATGATCAAAGACGTCGTGAGTATTGCACACTTAGAGTCTTGAACGGACTTGAAGAGGATACTGACAGTTATATTCTTGATTACCAGGTCGGAGGGAGACAGAGAGGATCGGGGTGTTTCCAGGAACCGGTGTAACAGAGCTGGATGCAGGTAAGTAGACGGAGCACACACACACACAGGAACACACGAGGGAACCACAGGAGATCAAGGAGTCGTGGATCAACAGATAAGTAATACCGCATAGGTTTGAGTCCTTTTCCACTTGGGAGACCAGATGATGTGGCTGTGTGAACTGTGTGTTCTTATAGTGCTGTGTGGGTGATTGGTGAATGACAGTCAGGTGTGTGTGATTAGTATTCCGGTGATTGTGAGCGCTGATAGGTGAAAGAGCCTGGCATGTCCGTGACACCTACAGAGGTCCATTCAATGTTCATAAGCTCATTTGAGCTTTATGATTGGCCATACTATTGTAATCTTATGGTCTTGACTGTTGTGTTTTTTTGTTGAAGTTTCTATGTACTGAAGTTTTTCTTTTCTTTGGTTGTGGAGTTTCACGTTTGGGTTGAATGATTTTGTTTGATGTGTTCAATTTTTGGTTGGGTTTTTCTGTGTTAATCTTTGTTTCTTCAGTACAATGGTTATTTGATGCAAGAATTTCTTCAGTTAAGTACCATATTGTTGCTCCATCATAGAGGTTTAATCTTCTGGTGGACCTCTGTTTGTTTGTTTGTTTGTATTTTGTTATTGCACGACCAATAACAATAGAATTTAACCATAATATCGTTGTTAATGTGTTGGCTAATGAACATTGTTATTTAAATAAAATTAACCGATTGCAATCTGAGTTTTGGTTCTTTCATTTGAACCGCCTGTGCGGGAATTAGTAACGTCAGATCCCCCTTTCCTGTATAAATTGGGGTGGCGTAGTCATATCTTAACCTTAGGGTTATAAAAAAATGTATCATACATAGGTGGTCTCGGTTACACACACACACATATATATATATACTGTATATTTGTGCCATCCATTGCTATGGCGCAAGAGCGTTCCCTTTATGATCACTAAAAGCTGTCACTTATCTTAGTTCATCGCAATCTCACAAATTTATGTTATAATTAATAAAGTTCTCAAAGCTGCACAATGAATCTCTTATTTACATCGTGTCTACACTTTGTTATAATGAGATGATTCGTGCTGAACATAACACCTGAACAAAAACTGTGGCGATTTGAGCGGTGAATGGATTCTAACTTAAACGCCTGATTGGCTGAAAACTCTGCACGTAATAACCTAGAACACTGTCTAATCCACTGCGTTCTCAAAACTCTGGCAATTTGATAATACCTAGAATATCAAAATCAACTGCGGGTGGCAGATCTTTCTCCTATTTAACGCCCAAACTCTGGAATTTTTATTTATTTATTTTTATTTATTTATTTAGTCATTTAGCAGACGCTTTTATCCAAAGCGACTTACAAATGAGGACAACAGAAGCAATCAATTGTAGTATTAAAACAACTAAAAACAGAAAAAGCTAAAAAGCTAAAACTTTATAAGTACTGCTTATACACATTTTAAAAATAAAGAAATTAAATAAAAATGACAAATGCATACAACAAAATTTCAAACCTTAACATTTAAATGAAAAACAAAAAATAAAGCTAAAAACAATTCAAAATATTAAAGAACAAAAGGTATGAGTATAATAATGATTCTAACCTAACACTAAGCCAAACACCAAAAAAAAAACAACTACATATATATGTATGTACAACCATACACACATACATATATATATACATACACATTTATAAATTCAATATATATATTATTTCATTTCCATTTAGATTATTCAAGTATTAAAATAACTCTATAAATTAAATAAAATTAAAACTTAATAAAAAACCTATACAGACATAATAAATTCAGACATAATTTAACTAAAATGAGGAGCAAGGAGCTTTAATTGTGCACGAAAATTTGTTGTTCATAAGGGGGGAAGAGGCAAGAAATTGACTGAAGAACGCAGGAAAAAGTGACTTGTAAACCTCCTTCTGCGGTCAGGAGGAGCCGAGTCAGATAATGCTTGTGTGTGTTGTAGTGAATTTTGCTTTCGCCAACCTAGGGAGGCGAAATAGTGTGGTGATGGATAATTGTTTACGTCACCAATGACGTTATGATATTTGGATCACGTGTTAACTAAGGTGTGGTTATGAGTACATCACATAAGAAAGATTGGTGGGATCTCTAACTTGTAGAACCTCTTTCTGTATCATCAACACAAGGAAAACACAAATGTAATAAAATAGATTTTATTAACAAAAGATAGACAAGAGTAATCAACAACTACTAAATGAATACATAATTCATAAATGAAATAGGAATAAAGTGCATAAGATGCATAAAAGGCAAGTGATTATGTTATGCAGAAGGTCCTTAGCCTGGAACACGCAAGCAAAGGTACCTTGGAGGGAAGGTT